GTGTGTGTGTGTGTGTGTACAATACATCTGCGATCAAAATAATTGTTGTCATTTGAACGATTTTCTAATATCACTATATATATGTGTGTGTGTGCGTGTGTGTGTTTGTGTGTTTGCACGTGTGTGTATTTATGTATATACATATATACCTGCCTAAAATGGTTTGTGGATGTACTTCCTGGATGTGCTTACCTCGAATGGCGAACTGCTCAGAAATGTGTCCGTCACGAAGTACACGTCCGTGATATTCTGCATTGTTTTGGAGAGAAATATTAATTTAGTTGGTAAGTATCGAAAAGTGAACTCCTATTGAAGCTCTGTTCTGCGAGTAATCGCAACAGGAAGGGAGCTACCGATTTTCCCTAAACCCTATACAAAAGAAAAAGCATCTTATGTTCTTCCTAAACCACAAGACTACATATACAGACATACTTCTCCTGGCGCTAGAGGAACGTCGCTGTCCACTTGTCTGGGAATTACTACTATCTCGACCTCGGTGTTGGGCACTGTAATGGTTGTTCTGGCCTGGTATATGGCCGTGTACGAGTTTTGGTTGTCCTCCTGAGTATTCTGGATCATCAATGACCCACTGATCTGCCCGGTGGTGGCCAAGTCGATGGCTACGGTTGTAAAAGGAATGGTTCGCAAAATTAGTCCTAGTTTTCTGTGGTAGGGTAATACAAGAGATATGTGTATCACGATATATACTTAGATGTTTCTGCATTAAATCCGGATGAGACGTTTATCCCGTATGCGTTAAACGCATCTGGCTTTCAGCTTCACTGTCTCCATGCAGATCGTGCGACACAACACCAAACCGCACTATCAACCAGGACATAGGTATGACCAAGAAGCACACCCCAGCCCATACACACCAACCCACACACACATACCCCGACATCCACACAACACTCCCATTAACATATCACATGTACGCGGAGACACTCTCTTACCGATCAAATCGGCATTGGTAATGGCCCTATTGAACAGCGGAACAACCAGTTCCATGTCTTCAAAGTCCGTCTTTACTTCGCCAGTGGTTGCGGCGCACACGCGCTGATACTCCTTCAACTCTCGGCACACAATGACCTGACAGGTACCGGAGTCGCACTGTCGGTTGGACTGCAGGCAGGATAGGCCGGTGTACTGTGGTTCGTTGGGGAGTTCACAGTCTACGCTGAACTCGGACGCCTCGGGAACTAGCCACTTGTCAATGGCGGAGAAGTACTCGCACTGTTCTGTGCCGGAGATCACATCGTCGCCGCAAGTCACGCAGCTGTGTTGAGAGATCATGTGAAGACGTGAAGTAGTTAAGCATAAGGTCTGTCTGGGCAGTCTTAACCATAACCCGATCAACGGCAACCCCTTAGTCGCAGATAGTAAGTCTCTGGTCTGGCAATACCCCACCCACACACCACACACCCAACATATACACTTCCCCAGCAACTCACCAGTTTTCACAGTCCGCATCAGTACACGTGGCGTCGCCAGAGGGCAGCTGATCTCCAGTGCAGTCGTCGGGATCACACAGACGGTCTTCACAGCAGTTAGAGCAGCTGGCATCCTCACAGTCATCGTCTGCAAAGAAACGCTGACCTGGTGTGCACGTGTTACCGTCGTCCGCACAAGTCTTTTGTCTGCGGAGTGTGTGGGAGAAGGGTGTGTGGGGTCAGCAGAGGTCGCCAGGGCCAGGCTTTTTGACGGGGCTGTTTATAGTTGTTGATATCATTATATATATATATATATATACATACATACATATACATATACATATACATATATATATATGTGTGTGTGTGTGTGTGTATGTATGTATATATATATATATATGATATATGCAACAGAAAGATCTTACCTGCAGCACTTGGCACAGTTGTCTCTGTCGCATGGTGTACCGCCGGGAAAGGCTTCCACTTCACCATTGTCGGTGTCGCAGTCATCCGAATCTGTGCCGCAAACCAGCTGTTTGCAACTGCGGTAGTGCGAGGTGTGCTGTGTATGTGAGTGTTGAGATATAATACTGGGAAATGCGAGGTTTGTAGTCGTGTGAGGTGCACCTGCTGTAGCTGTGGGGCGGACATGTCTGCTTGAGATACGCATACAGAATATAACAAGACTTAAATTCACAGTACAAACGACTTGCGCAGCATGTGCAGCAACAATAGCATGACACACTTCCGTGGCCAATATACATAAACACTGTCAACATAAATAGATGCAAATCATGCTAGCACCAACCCATCTCTCGCTCTACTTATCACACATACCAATTCGTGCACAGATCTGGTGCCGCCTCTGAGCACAACCTGTCGCCCGAGGGACCCAACCCAGCCCCACAATCGCCTCCAAGCGTATTCGCCAGATCAGAAGTACAAGCCACCGCCACACAGCAGTCGCTGCAGTCGTCTGTCTGGCAGTTGTCCTCACCGCTAGACCGGGTGCCGTCCGGACAAGTGGGGAACGCTACAGCGCATGTTTGCTGCGTGCAGCAGTTGTCGCAACTCTGTACGTCACAGTCTGTGTCTCCGCTCTCGATGCTGCCGTCATCGCAGTCAACGTTGCTGCATAGCTGGTCAACGCAACTGTGACAGGACAGGCATTGGTGGAGGTGTTGGTATAGTGTAAGTGGAGGTATAAGTACGCATGCTTCCCGCAAGTTGAATACAGTTTCCAATAAGGGCTCCGTACTGCATAATGCATATTAATATCTCCGACTACACACACATGCCGGAACAAACAGATTAAAACTTAGAGATACTATATTCTCAGTAAGACTTACTACACCCTCACCCAATGTTAATATGTGTCACGTAGAACATCGATATAATCGTAACAATCCTTCCTTTCTTATCAAACATCCACTATAGTAAGATTTGATAGACCGATTGCACAATCTCAGCAACATGTCTGTTACTCCCCAACAGCTGCAAATGCAAATAAGCACACGCACGTATCATTGCACTTGCACTTCTCAGCAGCTCAACTGTAACCCTCCAACAGTCCCATATGCAAATAAGCGCACACACGTATTACTGCCCTGTACATACCAATTGGTGCATCCGTCGTTTCTGCAGTTTTGGTTTCCGCTCTTGACCTGCACACCAAGGCATGTCACATCGTCGCAAACCAATTGCGTGCAGCTGGGCGTTTGGAGAAGAGGACAAACCAAAACAAAAATGAATGCTCAGGTGTGACTATGGTTTTAAAGATTGCAGAATGCAGCGAGTTGTGAAGGAATTGGGAAGGTCGTCTGTTGTTGGCACTACACATAGCCGGTAGTTGGGCCTATTGCGCCGACAACACCTCCACAAGGACACACTCGTATCATCTGTACTTCGTCTTCTTCTTTAGCGCTATGGCTCCTACACTCTCCCTACACACTCACACGCAGCAATAACACTGACCTACGTATTCTCCACGACTCCCATCGACTCACCAATTGCCGCAGTTACGGTCCGTACAGAAGGTCTGTGTGTTGTCAAACACCAGCCCGGGATCGCAGCTGTCCGCATCGCAGGTGCGCACTTCACAGCAGTTGTCACAGTTCGCATCTGTGCACGTAGAGACGCCGGGCACAGCATACTCGCCCTGGTCAGAGTCACACACGCGGTCGGCCGAGCATGTCTTGGCTGTGCAGCAGTTGGCGCATCCCTGTAGTGGTGGGATAGGTAGACAGACGTAAGACAGTGGATTTGCAATTGGGGTCATTATCAGGGTTAAAGACAGTCTTTGGTTTGGTTGTTCTGTTGGGTTCTAATCTTGGGTTGACATGGCGTGCACTACGGATAGGCGGCACCTCGTCTCATATCACAGTAGCAATTAACTCAGTGTCAGTGGCACTTTAAATCACAAACATAGTACCTTGTTAGTAGCACTCTAATTCACAGCAGCAATAGCACTTCAAACATGCTGTCCAGATATTCAATACCAAACCACAATTTACACAACACATACAGATACTCCATATTGTCATACAGACCAGATGGCTTGCCTGAGTGTCGCAGTTGGTGGCGGCTGTCCGCTTCTCCGTCGGCGCACATGTGTTGTCGTCGTCACAGGTTTTGAATTGGCAACAGTTTGTGCATTGCAGGTTAGCGCAATCTGAGTTACTGTTGCTGTCGTCGGCCTCAATACCGGCGCCGCGCTCGGCGCAATTGACATCGGCACACACCAATTGTTCGCAGCTGGGTATGTAAGTGGGATATAAAAATAGAACCCTACATGTGAGTGCTCAACGATAAAGTGCTGGGCCCATACAGAGACCTAAACCTTAAACCCTAGTCGTATGTATACCCACACACCCACTGGTTCACAGCCCCAGACACTCACACCTATCTGCACCTACCAATTGCTACACGCATCGTCGTCGCAGTTGTTCTGGTTAACCCGCTCCTCCTGTCCAGGGCCACAGACGTTATCTGTCGCACATGTCAGCTGCCGGCAGCAGTTACTGCAGTCACTATCCTCACAATCCGTGTCTGTCGTGCGTTCCTTTCCAGCATCACAGACTGGATCACAGGTTAGCTGTGTGCAACAATTAGCACAGGTGCTGTCGTCGCACAGAGTGTCGTCGTGTCCGTTCTTCTCCTCGCCGGATACGCAGGGACGCTCCACAGAGCACACCAGATCGTCGCAACAGTTGGAGCAGCGGTTGTCTGTACGAAAACATTTGAATATATATGAAAGGGAAGGTAAAGTGTTACTTTGTGCAGTGATTAGATCCTGATATAACAGTACATATAAAAAGGGAAAGTAGAGTTGTGTGTGTGTGTGTTGGTGTATGTATTTGTATATATGTATGTCACTTTTTTTAGTGTTTAGATAACGGTGTGTGTGCGCCTGATACAACAGTACATATAGAAATGGAAAGTAAAGTTGTGTGGGTGTGTGGGTGTGTGGGTGTGTGGGTGTGTGTGTGTATATGTATATATGTGTACAGTGTTCAGATATTGGTGTGTGTGCGCCTGATATAACAGTACATATAAAAATGGAAAGTAAAGTTGTGTGTGTGTGTGTGCGTGTGTGTGTATGTAAGTATATATGTATGTCACTTTGTGCAGTGTTTAAATAATAGTGTCTATGCGCCTGATACATTAGTACACTCAGCACTATGCCACTTACTACCTTTAAAACTACAATGCATCGACAAAGCACCACGCCAACACTGTACACGCACACCTAAACCCACTAACCATCGCAATCAGTGTCCCCAGACTCTCTCTGGCTGTCGGTGCAGGTGACATCGGCGTCACACTCCAACTGTTCGCAGCAGCCCGAACAGTCGCCGTTGATGCAGAATCTCTGGTCCGTGTCGCGCTGGCCAGATGGACAGCGGAACTCAGAACAGCGATCAGGTACGCAGCTATAGGTATGATTAATTATATATTGATATATAATTAACTATATACTATGTGAGAAAGATATGGGATGGGAAGGTGCAGTAATTGAAATTCGAGAAGAGTGAGTCCAGGTGTTTGGTTCTGAATCGATACGCACACAGGCAGTTCAGGCTGAAAGTGCGTCGCCACACACAT